CCATCACTCCAGCCCCCTAACTGTTATCTCCTAACCACTCAACTTTCTGAAATACAGCTTTTAGTCCAAGAATTTTTTAAATCTTTCTATTTAAAAAATGATGATGAGTATAGAACCCAGGCCTTGTACATGCTAAGCACATGCTCTATTTCAGTCATACCCTAAACCAGATTGCAAAATTTGTAATGAAAATGACCTAAATTCCCAGGAAGTAACTACATTGGCAATCTTCAGGCTTAATGTTCCTAAGTACCCTGCTGTCCCTTATGTTGCTCAACAACTCCTCCTTCCTGAGATTCAACTGTCTCTGCCTCTGGGGACTAGAATTCTCCTCAAGTCTCTGCCCCCTCTTTGGGGGCGTGGTGGTGGTAGTGGTGGAGTCCTGACACAGGATTGTTTTGAAACTCACTCTGTAGAGCGGGCTGTCCTCGGACTTACAGAGATCCACCTGCCCTGCCTGCTGAGATTAGAGGCATATATCACCACTTTCCGGCAGTCTTCAATATAATAATGACCTTCTAGTTCCTTATACTTACCCTTTGGTCATTAGGGATGGGTTCCTGGGACTTCAGAAGTGAAGCTCTTTCTTCATCTACCCAGTTCCCCCACTCCTCTGCTGGTGCGTTCCAGTCTGAGCTGGGGTCAGCAGAAGACAAACCATCTAAAAGTTAACACCGTGAATTAGTTAGCTGCCATTCTGTCAGAAGCTGAAATTCAAACACTAAAAATCCTTTCTGTTGAGTTAAGCTGTAATTCTAAACTATTTTTTTCTACTTTCCCTTGAACATATTTTAAGAGCTAGCAAAAAGCAGAAGCATGGCAGCCTTTATCCAAACGTTGCTAGGCACAAGATTAACTGGGATTTTAGACACAAAGACTCAATGATCTACAGCACTCTCCTTCGTCAGTCTAGGGCACAGAATTAAGCTTTAATCACGGTACCACAATTAAATGCCCTCCTGTCACCTCACAACACACTTCCTCCCATCTTTATAAGGTCTTCAAGATTAGATTCTTCAAGCTCACCAAATCATGATAAGCGACACAACTGCTTTCTTTCCTCCTCTAATAGTTAACTTGTAGCCTCTTAATGTTTCCTAATGTTAAGTGACTCTCTTATCTGATGACTCTAAAAGTATTTGAGCCATTTGCAGGGCTTTGTATACTCTAGTCTCAAAAACAGTTTTAACTCTTCCTGAATGCCCTTCTTCCACTAAGGTGGCAATGACATTTTACTTAGGAAGCTATCACTGGTCAGTACCAGAGGGGAGCACAGGCCTTCAATTTTCCTTGGCTAAGTGGTTTCCAAAGTTAACTCTCCTTTCTACAAACCATTCACTCCTACATACATTCTTTTAACATCTATTTACAGCCAAGTTTTAAGAGGAAAGAGGTTATACTTTACTCCAAATGCTCAGGAAGTCTTCCTAGCAATGTTTAACTGAAGTAAGTCCAATAAGTTCCCATAATTTCTTAATGCTACTAGTACCAAATACTAAGTTTTTTAAATATGCATTTTACTACTTCTGGGATTTCTAATCTGTCCAACTGATCTGTTCCTAAGGTAATGCCAAACATGACTTGGACATATATTTTTAGGATCTAGGAGGCAAATCTGCCTGTTTTATGCTCACTGCTATTTTTAATTTTCCCAGGTCAACTTTTTACTTTTTACAGGAGAGATTCTCATAGATCTTCACAAAAGCTTCAATACACATTTGAGAAGACCAAAGAACGATGTGAGAGAATGCTCATAGGAAAAACAAAAAAAGCCTAAACAGACAAACCTTCTGTACAATGTGATCCCTAATCTATGTGAGAAAGACACATACTAATAGCATGTGTATCTTCTCAGAATTGAAGAAGTTTATCTACTCATGAGGCAGTAGTTTCTTAAGTAGGTCTAAAAGTTAAAAAATAAGCAGAACTTCTAATGAGGAAAATGTGCAACAAGTAAGTACAAGTGTCAAGTATGCTACAGAAAGAAAAGGCAGTCCTTGCCCATCTCAAAATTCATTCCCATGTGGCATGAGCAGACAGATACCATCCCCAGTCAATACTTCAAAGCCCCTATACAGAGTTGGGAACCTCACTGTCTAACAAATGTCCATTAATAACCCTTTATCACTTAATGTGACACAGAACACTGCTTAACCCCCATCTTCCTTTTTCTTTTCTTTCTCTTTACTGAATAGAGATTAATTTTTTAATTAACTGGGATCAAATAAAAACCACTCAATAATTTAACAACCCAAACCTAAACATTATTATCCAGTGATTTTCCAATGCACAAACTTTAAGGCTCATAGTTTTAATGTGCTAATAAACTATGTAGTGTTTCTGTTTTGGTGGTGATGACATTTGAACATGGCCTTGTGCATGCTGGGCAAGCACTCTACCAATGAGTTATATCCCCAGCCCTAACGAACTTCTTAAACGTAATTTTCTTGCTGGGTGGTGGTGGCGCACACCTTTAGTCCCAGCACTTGGGAGGCAGAGGCAGAGGCAGAGGCAGAGGCAGAGGCAGAGGCAGAGGCAGGTGGATCTCTGTGAGGTTGAGACCAGTCTGGTCTACAGGGCGAGTGCCAGGACAGCCAGGGGCACACCGAGAAACCTTGCCTTGAAAAACCCAAAACCAAAACCAAAATTTCCTTGAAAATGACTCATAGTGTAGTCCTATTATTAAGCAGAGCAACTTTCCCACCCTGAAGTTTTACGAGTCTGCCAATGCCTTTTAATGCAGAGCTGTATGTATGTATACATATGTATGTATTTGTATTATATGGGTAATTTACTTGTGGAATGATGTGTGTAGGTTCACGAACAGCACTGCTAGCCTCAATCTGGAGATCACCTATTTCTATTTTCTTTTTTGAGACAGGTTTCTTTCTCTGTTAGTCCTGGCTGTCCTGGAACTCACTTTGTAGACAGGCTCTCTCAGACACCTGCCCGCCTGTCTCCTGAGTGCTGGGGTTAAAGGTGAGTGCCACTGTGCCTGCCTGACAAGGATCAGTTATTCCTATCAGAAAACATCTGTGAACAGTTAACTCAGTCTCCGGTGTTTGAACACAGATTCAATCCTCCACTGAGTAGCCTCTGCTCCTTGCCTCTCTCTTGCCACCAGGTTAACCTGTCCCATTGCTGCCGCCGCCTGTCCTTTCACCAGCAGCAGACTTTGTGTTTCTAACTTCCACCACGGACTAGAGACCAGCGGCTCTGCAGAACACTCCACGCAGCAGCCTGGGACTCCTGAACACCCCCCTGCCACACGGACTGAGTAACCACCAGCTGTTGCCCCACAATGAGAGACAGCTATTAAGGGATTGCTGACTCTAATTTGTGGAAAATTGTTATTAAAACAACCATAACATACTATGCAATGCATTCTATAAATTCAGGAGTGATAATTACATAAACAAAATATTCCAAACCAAGACCACATTAAAGATGATACACATATAAATATACAAATAAAATTCAGGCAAAATGAATTAAAAATAAATTTTGGATATAGAAGGCTGTCAATATGGCACAGCAAACTTGAAGATGGTATTTTTGATTGTGTGTGTGTGTAGATATATGAATAAGTATAGAAATTCTCTCACAATAAGGACTCAAGTAATTCAGGTTTAGCCTTAAACTTGATACTCAATGTAGTCAAGAAAGATCTTGAACTCCTGATCCTCCTGTTTCTTCAGGGGCTTCTATCCCTCCAATACTGGGATTACACTCAATTACGCCTCGAGCACTCCTGTGTGTGTGTGAAAGATATTAAAAGTGTGTACCACCAATTTTTCTGTATTTCCATTTTATGTGATGTGTGTTTACCTGCATTGCATATAATTTGTGTCTCATGCCCATGGAGTCCAGAAAAGACTATTAGATTATTAGATACCTTGGAACTGGAGTATAGATAGCTGAGAACCATCATGTGTGCGCCAGAACTGAATCCAGCAAGTGCTCTTAATAACTCAGCCATCTCTCTAGACCCACCAGGACCACCCCCATAAGACTGCCGCTCACCTATTCACTGGTGTGTGTGTGTGTGCATGTAGAAATGAAAGGACAATTAATTATGTTCTCTGCTATCTAGTGGGTTTTAGGGATCAAACTTGGGTGGTAAGACTTCTGAGAGGAAAGTGCCCTTGCCCAGAGTAAGCCATCTTGCCAGAAAACAGCTGGCTTTAAGCATCTAGAATCTTACCAACCCACTTTTATATGTAAAGTATGTAATTTTTCTTTCTTTGTCAGCCAACAATGGTTTCCATATTAGGAAGCCCTCACACAACTAAAGTAAAGTGTCCAGTAGGATGGCCTGCAGCTGGTGGTTCAGTGCTCTTAGCTCTCAGCAGCCCAGATCCCTCACTGCTGTTTTTTCCAGTTCTCCACTGCACTGCAGAGATAATTATTTTTCCTAAAAGCAGCACAGTCATTTTTTCTTTAATACACATCATGATGCACTATAATTTGTAAAGCTTTCTCAAAACTATTCCCAGTAGACAGAATGGGTTCTATTCCATTTTACAGTCCAATATAGATTTCAAAACAAATGCTAACGCTCACAATATATGAAATACTGTATTTTAGACCCCGGACTAAACCCAAACCTTCCAAACAAGTATCCTTAGTTGAGCATGGTGGCACACACCTGTAATCTGAGAACTCAAGACTGAGAGTTTAATGCAACAGTGTTGCAAAGTGAGACCATGTCTAAAAATACACCAACACAACACAGGACAACCCCATCTTCTTAATCTTCAGACCTTTCTAACCTAACCTCCCTTACCCTGTAAGGACCCTGCCTCAGTCTCTGTGTTATAAGCTGGCCTCCATAACTACTAGTGTTATTGTGATTGTACTACACCAAGAGAACAAGACAAGCAAAACTAGCAAGGTTTGACTCCCACCCTCTTCCATTTAACTAGCTGATATCTATAGAGACTTCCTTTGGTTTCAATGTCTTTATCTGAAAAGTGTGAGGGAAAATAGCATCTATTTAATGCAACTGTTTTAAGTATTAAGTGAGGTGAGACCAGTCCTGGCAGACAGTCCGTGTTTACTTTTCGGACATTCCTACAAAGTCATTACTTTGCTCACACACCATACTAAACCCTGTAAAAACTGCAACAGCAGGAATGATGGTGCACGCCTTTAACCCCAGTACTCGGGAAACACACAGTAGGTGGATCACTGTGAGCTCTGGGCCAGCCAGGGTTATTTAGTCAGAATCCTGCCCCCAACCCCACAGGAAAAAAAGTACTGCACATATAAGAGTAATTGAGTTTCTCTTTCAGGAGGTTTTAACTCAAATAAAAAATTACTAAAATAAGGTCAAAATAAATAGAAAATTCAGAAGATAATTTTAGAAAATCAAAACACCACTTTATACAAGATCATTAAATCTATCCTTTCTTTTCTAAAACAAAGAACAAAATAATGGGATATATACAAGGTAGCAAAGAATGTGACATAAACATTCAGAGGAAAGAATAAATTCTGAAAATTGGACTTATGGAGGGGAAAGCATGAAGTAAATGAAGCTGGTGAGCCTTTTCTTTATGAAGACTATTTTCTTTTTCCTTATCTTACTTTTATTTTTTTAGGCACGATCCTGTATGTAGCCCTGTCTGGCTGGAACTCCAACAAAGACCAGACTGGCCTTGGAACTCACAGAGCTCAGCCTTGCCTCTGCCTGTTGGCAGAATGCTGGTGCCACAATACCCAGCTTTACTTTTTCTTTCTTTCTTTTTTTCAAGACAGGGTTTCTCCATGTAGCCCTGGCTGTCCTGAACTCAGAGATCTGCCTGCCTCTGCCTCCTGAGTGCGGGGATTAAAGGTGTGTGCCACCACCGAGATGATTCTTTTTTTTTTTTTCTTTTGGTTTGGTTTTTTGAGACAAGGCTTCTCTGTATAGCTTTGGAGCTTTTCCTGGCACTGGCTCTGTAGACCAGGCTGGCCTTGAACTCACAGAGATCCACCTGCCTCTGCCTCCCGAGTACTGGGATTAAAAAGGCATGTACCACCAATGCCCGGCTTTTTTTTTTTTGGGGGGGGGGATTCTTTCTTTTAAATGTATGTTTCTGTTGGAAATTGGGCTATGAAAGTGGTTGTCTTACTAGTACAAAATGTGCACACAATACAAATAATTCAAAGCAACTGCTGTAGAGTCTATTCTTTCTTTTAAAATAAAACCACAGAAATAGAATTATTCATTTAAGACAGAAAAATCTCAAAATTAGTCCTACAGAACTATGAGAAAATTAAGACTGCCTCAGTCATAATGAATAGTTTTAATTCCACAGACAGTCAGAATCAAGTTCCAAGTACTACAGCTAGTGTTATATTATTATGACCTTTAAAGTGGGAAAAATTAGGATTAAAAACTAAGACATAAGCACAAATTCAGGATGCTAGAAAGAAAATTATGAGGAAAGTAACTGAAAAAATTTTAAAGGACATACTTAACCCAGACCATTCATCATCGATATAGGGCTGATTACGGCTAACATCCCACTGATAATCAGAAGTGGTAGACTGAGAAACGGGCTCAGCAGTAGACCCTTAAATGAAAAACGAATGCAAAAAAATTAAAATGTAATTTCCTAAGAATGTTTCATAACAATAGTTCTATACTTTGCACATTTTCTCCTAAAAGGAAAAATTTAGACATAGCAAAAGAGTTAAAAGGAAAAGTAAAATTGAGGGCAATTTAAGTATGATAATAAATGATCTAATTCAACACCAACACTCATACCAATCAGTCTGACTTTTGTTATCTGCAAATGTCAGAATGTTGATAAAAGCTTCATTTTTCTTCTTAAAGGTAAGCAGTAAAACACAAAATCTTAAACGCTAGATGCTTCAGGGTATCCTGAACTCAGAAAAACGATTAGAAAATGTTTGAGTTAGCTCAACTTTTTAGGCCACAGAAAGTTAAAGAAACAGGATTAACTGGAGGGGTGAGACAAAAATGTCAGAGACAGGAGTTGTTCGAAGTTGAAAGAGTTAAGGTCTGGTACATTTAAAAGAACAGAATCTTATTTTCTATGTGTGGTTGTTATTTTCTTAGAGAGAGAGAGAGAAAGAGAGAGAGAGAAGGAATGAGAGTTGGGGGTCCCAAGGTCTCTAAGGAGCCAGATGAAAGCAGTGCTGGCCCAATGTCCAGTACTTTATGTAAAAATGTGAATATATTTTGGGGTATAATAGCCCATGGAAGTAAAGCCAAACCCACTGTTCTATTCATTTGAGAATGCAAATGAAAGCACTCTACTATCAGGTGCACAGACACACATAACCAGAGACCTTAGGTGACTCTGATACTCACTGTGGATTTAGAGCCACTCATGGGAAAAAATAGTTAAGAAGCATAGGTCTCTGTTAGTATAAATAAAACAATTACTTCTTTCCCTTACAGTCTTTACTAATTTATACATTTCTTCTTCCTTATATATAAGCTTGCTAGCATTTCACTAATGATTACTCTCCCACTATATACTCAAAATAGTAATATATTTTAATGCAAAATTTAGCAGGTTACCCAACAAATGTGTTACTATTTAGCACATTAGTCACTCAGCTACACAACCATAACTTATCTGCAGTAAACTCCTACTGCTTTCTCTGATGCACACAGATGTGCTGTACAGTCATCAAATGAAGGAAGCAACTAATTTGCACTCCTGGGAGAAAAAATGTGGTTGATGACACCATGAGTTAGCAAACGGCATCTTGTAGGCCAACCACAGATTCTGATTGGCCCATGAACTAACAAGAATTTCATATATATTTGGTTTTATCCCTTGGGACAGGATTTCTATCTAACAACCCCTGTCTGTCCCAGAACTTGTTCTGTAGACCAGGCTGGCCTTGAACTCACAGACATCTGCCTGCCTTTGCCTCCTGAGAGCTGGTATGCACCAACATGTCTGGCCAGAATTTTGTATTTTTAAATGGCTGGAAAAAAAAAAAAAAAAACAAAACAAAACAACAACAACAAAAAAAACACTGAATAGTGTTTTGAAGTCAGAAGCACTTGTCTGCCTATTGCCTCTGGTTGCTTTCTTGTTATCAGGGTACAGTTGAGCTGACAGCAATGACAAACAGTATGGCCATAAAACCTCAACTACTTACTACTGCTTTTGCAGGAAGAGTCTGCTGGCCCCCATTCTAGACTAGTGTTCCAGATACCATGAAATAACACCATAAGTGAGTCAAAGTAGTACAAAAGAAGGTGTTCCCCACTCATGTAGTATCTGTTTAATACAGGTAGCTTTTGCTGGTTAACCAAAGACCTATCCATTTAAGCAACGTGGGATTAGCACTATCAATCATGTGGACACTGTGAATCAACAGGTCCTAACACATTATTGTCATGTGTGTCCATACCTGAAAGGCTTCTTACACACTCATGATGAGGAAGAATGAATACAAAAATGGCAGACTCAACCACACGATTGGTGGAGTGCACCAGTAACAAGAACATGGTCCTAACCACATGGATTTCATTCAACCTGTGAGTTGTGACCCCTTGTGGGGTATGTATCAAATGACCCTGTCACAGGGGTCACCTAAGATCACTGGAAAACAGATTTTACATTATGATTCATAACAGTAGTAAAATTACAGTTATGAATAGTAGCAACAAAAATAATTTTATGGTCAGGGTTACCACAGCATGAGAACTGTATTAAAAGGGTCCCAGCATTAAGGAAGGTTGAGAGCCACTATCCTAACCTAAAGGAGAAGGCCTTCTAGGAGTATTTATGCTAATAAATTGCCACTGGTAGGCCACAGAATCTAAGTCACAGGCACACAAGGGCTTAGGTGTCCCCTACAATGTAAAGACCTTTGCTACTCTGAGTATTAGTTATGTTGACAGCAATACTTGATGCTAATCAATTTTCCAAGTAACAAATGATAAAAGTAAACAAAAATGCTTTGGTTAACTAAATGAAAGACTGTTTTCACATACCAGAAACAGCAGAGTTAAGTGTGAGAGATGCAAAAGAAGCAGAGTTCTGTTGAGAGGCACTCATCCCCCTAGCCACACTAGACCAAGCAGCTGGCAAAATAAAGAATGTCACTTGCAACCTTCAATTTGCAATGAAACTCTAAAGATGCACAGATTTAAAACTATGATAGCAATATTTAAGGCTTGTCTTAAAAAATGAGAACCAATAATATAGCAATAGCTATTAACTGAATGTCTACTCCCTTATACCCTGAGTTCTAATCCTTCCGTCAACCCTGATAGGCTGTTTTAGAGGTAGCAAAAGATTTGCCAATACCTAAAACACAAGCTATCACTGGAACTTAAAGTCACTTTACAAGCCTACTCTTTCCATTATACAAACTATGTCATTATCTATCAAAATTAAGCAACTATTTTAGATAAGGCACCAAACTTGGCAAGTGACATTCATTACAATCAATCTGCACAATGTCTTAAATATGAGGTATTCTGAGTTACATAAGTAAATGTCCATGAACTCCAAATAGGTCTGTCTGAACGAGTCTATACTTAACTCTACTTCGTCATGCTACCTTTATATTATTTTCAAGGTATTTTTCTGAAAACAGAATAATTAGGTCAATAACAGGCTACATATATATTTGTGGCTCGATAAGACTTTCTCACCTAGTGACATCCTAGTGTTTTAGTTTGAGTATATGTCTACACAACGACAAATCAACCAGCATGCCTTTCTAAATGTGCCGTGTTACTTGACATGACTGTATTCTAAAGAGCACACACACCTCCTCACGTGATCAGTCATACCTGCTTTTCCTCAGCAAGCTTAATTTAATGCAGCTCTTTTTCATTCTAAAGACAATCTTGAACCTAGCTAGGGGAGCCCATCCATCTAATTGGCTGCTTAACTTTATCTGTAACAACACCAGGCAAACACCACCTAATCTATGTTCTAATAGTAAATATTATAATATATTATCTGTTCTCCTTTCTCTGCTGAAAATGAAGGTATGAATTTAGGGACTATCTTTGTAAACAGATTTTGGTATTTCTGCAGTTTTGGAACATTGAAGGTGGGGGCGGAGAGCAAACTTGGAACAACAGTCAATGAACTGCAGTTTGCTTCTTGAGGGCATTAGTCTTTAAAAAGGGCTGGAAAGCTAAGAGTAAAAGAAGAGGTTGTATTTTTTTTTCTTACAAGCTAAGAACTCCCTAGTATCCAATACTCCCCAAATACTTGCCGTAAGTAAAACAAAAACTCCATGCCCAAGTGGGAAATGGTGGCTCACAATTGTATTTCCAACAATTAGGAGGCAGAGACAGAAGAACTGTCTGTAAGTTCCAAGCTAGGGCTATATAGTGAGACTGACAAAACCAAAACCCCAAAAGGAAAAAAAAAATTAATTTACTATATGAGGAATTATCAACAAAAACAGCATAGGGCCATTAGACAAACAGCAAAGAACATGAATAGATAACTGGTAAAAGAAACAGAAATGATCAATTAATTCATGGAAAAATTTCCAATTGCATCAGTGACTTAAAAGTCAACCAAAATAATACATGGATTTTTTGCTTATCAAATCAGAAAAGACAAAACAAACAAACAAACAACAACAACAAAAAGCCCAGCCTCAGTAAGCAAGAACACGATCCATGGGCATGGGCACTCACGTGAGGACCACACTCATGTTCTCTTTAACCCAAATCATTCTTAAGAATCTGGCCGAAACAAATACACTAAATGAAACATTACTGAAAATAATTTTTAAAACGTCAGACTCCAATACTACAGAAATAGCTAAGTGGATAATGCTATGTTTAAATAACACAGCACAAAGACCATTAAGTAAACGTGCTCATGAAGCAAGTGAAACTTCCTTACAAGTTTGGGGATGGGAAAAGGAACATAAAAACGCACATTCAATTCAGTTCATGTAAAACCAAAAACTATACACAGCAGAGAAAAAAAAAAAAAAAAAAAAAAAAAAAAAAACAAAAAAAAAAAAAAAAAAAAAAAAAAAAAAAAAAAACCCTCAACTTTAAAGACCAATTACAGCTGCCACTGACTGGGTGGTGTGATAATATATTTCCCCTTACCTATTTGCAGTTTTCCATATTTAATAAAGATTTCTTTTTCTATAACATACAAGCACATGTTGCTTAAAATGCAATGTTCTCTCAACAGGGGTACTACTGATTTCTGCCATTAAAACCCAGGGGTAAATAATAATTTATAGGCGTTTCTACAGACTATAAAATAAAATGGATGCTATAAACTTGTCTAGTACTTGTATTACTATTTTTATTTACACTCAATAAAACTAGTAAAACCTATCAGGTCTACTCACATATTAACACTAAGGTAGCCATCCTGAGGAATGAATGTGACAGAGAGCGTGAATATATAGAGAGTAAATGATGTCATCCATGCTCGTTTCCACTTGCTCTTCTATGCAAAGACTGAGGTCACCTAATTATTGCTATTACTTCTGCATGGCAGGACTAATATTTCTTCTTTTTTTTTTTTTGGCAAGACAGGATCTCATGTAGCCCAGGCTATCCTCTAACTCACTGTGCAGCTGAAGAGGACCTCCCGATCCTCCAGTGCTTGCAAGTATCCTCTACCTAACAAGCGCTGGGATCCCAGGCATGCATTACCATGCCCAGCTTAGGAATGTTTCTACTGATCATTTGCTTTCCATCACCAATCCTGAAAAAGATTGCCAATTTTACGTGAATTACATTTCCCCCCCCCGAAGAGTTCTTACCAATGCCAGAGAAAGCT